GGCTGGTCCATTGATCATGCCTCAGGCCAGCTGGGAAGAGAGGAAAGGCAGAGGGACGCACAGGACAACACTAACAGAGGGCTCTCTCTGAAGTCACTCTTGGAAGAATGACCGTTCTTCCAGAGTCTGAAGTCACTGCCACACACACCCTGTGGGTCTGGGGTCTGGCTAGCAGGTAACACACAAGAGGGGTGGAGGCATCAGGAGATTCTGGGTATTGGTTAGGCAGGAGGCTGTCTCAATGCATGCAGTGGGAAATGCAGGCTACAAAATCCTTTTTTTTTTTAATTGGAAAGAAAAGTAAAATCCAGTGCATAAAAAAGTAAAACCCCAGAAGATTACACACTAATATATTAAGAGAAGTTAATTTTGTATGACTGGATTCAATTATTATTTTCTCTTTATTCCTGTATTTTCCACATTCCTAACAACTAGCAAGTGTAACTTATAATCAGAGAAAATAAATGTTATTTAAGATTAAATGAAGTATCATGAAGTATTTCTCCTATGCTACTTTTTAAAAAAATTCTAGCAGCAGCTGTATGGAAAAAAGGATGTGTTTGGAGTTAGGCCTGGGCTCACCCTCTCCAGCCCCAGAACTGATTCCCAGTGGTCCCTCTATCAAGATATCCAATTTCTCTCCATCTAAGATTCCTTATCTGTAACTGAGAGAAGCAGCTATCTCACAGAGAATTGAGTGAGATAAAATGCTGAGAGTACTACCCTGGCTGGTACAGCTCAGTGGATTAAGCTCGGGCCTGTGAATCAAAGGGTTACTGGTTCAATTCCCAGTCAGGGGACTTGGCTGGGTTGCAGGCTACGTCCCCAGTAGGGGTAGTTCGAGAGGCAACCACACATTGATGTTTCTCACCCTCTCTTTCTCCTTCCCTTCCCCTCTCTAAAAACAAATAAGTAAAATCTTCAAAAAAACAAAAAAAAATATTGAGAGTTCTTAGTACAACACTCCTGGCATGTTCAATAAACATTGTGTTCAATGAATATTAGTGTCTCTTTCATTCTGGAGTAGGGCAGAGTCATTTAGGAAGAAGGTCCAAACACTGGGGGTGAGTCAGTTCAGTCTGCTGGGGTCCAGACTGCACCCCGTCCCCACTGTTATCTCCTCCTCAGCAGACTGGGGGTTATTCTGTTTCCTCCCCAGCACCTCCTCTTTCTGACCTGCCCCCCAGCCTTTTGTGATTATCTTAATAGAAGCCAATCTTCCTCATCTGTCTCCATTGCCACCCACGGAAACAAATGGGCTGCCATTCTCCTAGATACTAGGAGGCAGCTGGCCAGCTCTAGGGTCATTGTTCCAAATGTCACTGAGAGCCTGAGGGGGAGGGGAACCCATGAGATAGAAAGTAGGACTGCAATTACTAGCCTTCTCAATTCCCCAGAATAAAGCCCTTGCCAGCAACTAGCAGCAGGGAGAAGGTGGGGAAGGCAGATAAAGGAGCCTGGCATGGACTTGCTGCCCTCTGGCTGGCGCCAGGCTCACGCCCCCAGTTCTCACCTGAGGGCCTGTTACCCTGGTGAGCACAGGCTGTTTGCCTAGGGATGCGTGAACCTAAACACAATGGAGCCCTTGATAACTGCCAGCCCCATAGTTGTTCCATTGTATCTCAGTCCCTGATGCCTACCGCTCAGCTTCCTGTCTCACAGACATGCAGCTTCTAGACTTGCTAAATCTCAGGGAGCATCACTTCCCACTTCTGGGAGCATCAGTTCCTGGGAGGCCCCAGGTCCCAAGATTTCTCCTGACCCCATGACCCAAAGGCTATCTGTCCTACAGATGGGGAAGCACAAAAGAACAGGACTGGAGCTTCCCCCTCTTTGGGATGGAGTGAGAATCTCTCCAGGCCCTGGGGCTCAACCTTGGGCTGAGGGTTTTTCCTCCCCACCCATATATACCAGCCCCTTGCTCGACAGCAGCTCCTCTCTATCAGTTTATGCAGATCTGCAGCACTGCAGCCCCGAGGGCATGACCCTACAGGCTCAAGGAAAGGAATTGTTGCTCAGCCCTACAGCTTGGGTGTGGGCAGGGAGGGGACAGACCCCTCAAACTTGTGCTGACCTTGCTCCCCACTGGCTTTAGGGTACAGTGGAAGAAGGTGAGGGGGTCTCTGTGGCCAGCTCTGTGATCACACAGGAAAGGCCCCAGTGACCCTAAGATCTGATGATTGGTTTGGATTCTTTATTGGTATCTCCTGTAGAGACTAGTTGGCCCATTCCTAGAAATGCTCAGAAGAGGCTAATCGGGCTGGAGGCTGGCCTGGCTGGTGGAAAACCAGACTGGCCTATGGGGAGGAGCCTGGCTTGTGTTAGAGTGCTCTGTGCTGGCCCTCAGCCTGGTCTCAGGTCTCTGACCTCTGCATTCTTGTAGAGAAACTCATGGGGGCGGGGGGAAACCTGGCTAAAGAGGGGTTAAGGGCTGGGAAGGAGTCAAGGACAGGGTTGGGAGTAGGGATGTGGGGAGTCTGACGGCAGGCAGAAAACTTATCTCAGGATGGAATTCCCCCACGAATCCAAGAATAGACAGACAGACTGACACACACACTGTCAGAAAACATCTAGATAGGCTCTTTCCAGAGAAGGCAAGAAACTGTCATCAGAGGCACAGACAGACAGAAACACACTCTAGGAAACTACAAACCAGACAGACAGAACAACTTAGAATAACTGGGAACAGAGATAGAAAACAAGCAGACCAACTTGAGTGCCAAACTACCTGCCCCACCCAGAGGGTAGGGCTGCAATAGGCAGCACCTATATGCTCCTCCGTGAACCAACATTCAAGAAAATCTGCCACCATCCACTCTCCCTCCTTAGAACACCCTTGCCCCAAGGTTGGGGCCTGCCCTTCAAGGAGGAAACTGAAATAATAGGTTTCCTAACATCTCATCCCAAATCTTGGAAGAGAACCCTTATTCCCTTGAAGCCCAGACCCCATTAGGGGCCCCAGACCCCTCCTTATCCCCACACATACCCTCCTCTCTCCCACCGCTTTCTACCAGGAGCCACATGGCAGGGCCAGGGTGGGTCTGGCCAGGCAGAGGAGGGTTGGCATGTGAAAGAGTGGGAGGGGTGAGTTTGAGAGAGAAGGACCAAGGAAATCCCAAAGGAAGATTCCCGTTGTTGGGTTTTGTGAGGGTATGATGTTACCCATCTTCACCAATGCCTGATGCTTGGGTGGCAGTGATGGGGTGGAAGGCAGACCTGATAGTTTCCTTACTGCTCCTCTCTTGACAGGGAGGAAATTTTTTAGAAGACACAGGAAGAGCCAGGGCCCGCCACATCTTTCTTCCCAGACCACCCTTGTGCCACTCTACTCTCTACTTCCTCCTCTACTTTCTCATTCTTGCATTTCCCTTCTTCCTTCCAGTTTCCAGGTGAGCCTTTATCAGTTTGGAGGCATCACAATGCCCCCTAGATTGGGGGCCTCCTCAAGGACCCAAATGGTCTTCCTTGTCATTATGTCCCAGCACAGCGCTTGGCACAGAGACCACCCAGGGCCTCGTACAAAGCCTGGTTCTTTCCTTTGCCTTCCATCCTCCCATTTGGTCAGCTGCAGGGAACAACTATGCCTCCTACAGCCTTGGACTGAAGGATCTGGAGGGGTTACTGTAGCCCAACTGCCGTAGTTTCCTCGTCAGAGTCCTGCCTTGAACCCAATGCCCTCTGACTCCCCTTCAAGGAGAAATGAGTAATAATGCCTTTCAGGGGGTGGTTTTCTGTCCTTAAGCTCGATAGCCACCATCTCTGATTGTTACCTAGTTATTGTCCAAGGAAGAAAGGGAAAGATCATGGAATGGTTAAATCCTAAACTTGGAAGTGATGAGCAGGGGAAGTCAATGCCCTAAGTGTGTACCTGGGTGTTGGTATTTACTGGCTGTGTGACTGTGGGCAAGTCCCTTGAGTGCTCTGAACCTCACTCACCTCTCATGTAAGACAGGGATTATAAAGCCTGCCTGGTCTTATTTCCCTAAGCAAGTGAGAGGCTCAGTGAGGCTGTCTGTAAATGTTATGTTCTAAATAGACCAACCCCTTCCTTATACAGATGAGGACACTGAGGCCCAGGGGTATTAAATTGCCCAAATTCATTCTGACAACAGGAAACTGTAGATGGGGCAAATTTTAGTTCAGAATGGAAGAATCATGACTCCGTGTGAAGAACAGGAGAAATGTGCAGAACTGTGAGACAGAAAAATTGATAGAAAAGAGAAGAAAACAAAGTGTAATGGGGACAGAGACTAACAGTACACACAAATCAAGATGAAAGTGAGAGGAAATTGATGTGGGCAGGGAAGAGGGGATGGAGGAGCCAAAGGGCAGTGAGAGAGATAAATGTGGGAGGAGAAAGGTGAGAGTGTGATGGAGAGAGAACACAAGGAAAGGAGACAGGAAAAAAAGAGGGCATATGAATAACTCGAAACAAGATGAAGGAGAAAGCCTGGGACAGTGACATCAAACCCTGACTTTTCAATACTCCCCTTCCTTTCCAGGTTGTCAGCTAACTCAATGAAGTTTGTAAAATCCTGAAATTAAACTCGGTCATCTTGGATCGTTTATGGAAAGAGAAAGATTAGGAAAAAATGTAAATATTTGATTTAAGAGGAAATATGGGCACTATCATTGATTGAACAACTATTGAGTGGCAGACAACCTACTGAGTGATATATATATATATATATATATATATACACATTAATTTCCCTTGACATTTAGAAATGTATTTCATATAGGCCATTTAGAGGGGAGGAGGATAAATTGGGGATTTGAACATAAGGGTATAATGTCCTCAAAAATTGAGAATGGCTAATCTGGGGCCCAGAAGAAGAAACGAGAAAAAAGTATGAGGAAGGAGGTAAAAACAAACAAATGATCAAAAACACAAGACCCAAGAGGAAAAGGCCAAATGGCACAATGGTGTGTGCTTTGCTCTGCGAGGGGCAGGACTGTGGGGGTGGGGAGGGGAGGACCACCCATTGATTACTGAGCACCTGTGGGAGGCCAGGTCAGCACAGGAGGGCTTCTGCTCGGCATCAGCAGCTGGGCAGCAGAACTGGTGCAGCACGATCTCATTCCTGTAAGCAGAGCAGAGGGAGAGCATCAGAGCTCAGCTGACACAGGCTGGGCCCAGCCTGGCTTTCTGACACCAAGGCACTTCTGCCCTGAAACCTTGTCCTGTGTCTCTGAAGTCTCCAGCACTGCTCCAGGGAAGGAAGTGCAGCATCGATTTTCTGTCATCAAGGCCTCTTCAATCACCCATTAGGCCCAAGTCAATCACCACGTCCTGCTTGCGTTGACCTCTTGTCAATGGAACTCTTCCTACTTCTGCACCTCTATCCCCTCAGTAGCTCCTCTATTTGTATGAGCCATTTATTCCCTCTATCCTTGGTCGTTATCATAGTTCTTTATAACCCTGTTCCCCACTGAGGTCCTGCAAGGCAGAACTGGTCTATTCATCTGTGGCACACAGAATTGCATTCAGTAAACATTTTAAAGCTGTTCACACGCAAAGATACAAAGCACTTCTACAGAAACTTTAGTGTTGCCAGATGAAAATCCGAAGTATGGTGCTTCATGGATTTGTTTGATGCAGACGAAAAGCCAATCTGGGAAGCAGACACCTGGTTCTAGTGCCAGCTAGCCAGCTGTGTGATACCTAGTTCACCTCTTCTGGATCGCAAATCATTTACTGATGATGTGATGGAGTTGAGCTAGAAAAGTAGTTCTCAACCCCAGCTGCTTATTAGATGTACCAGGATATTTTAAAACCTACCCTGCCCAGGCCCTGCCTACCCCCAAGGACTGATTCACTTGGTCTGGCCTGGCTCCTGGGCACCAGGAATTTTTATAAGCTCCAGGGCGATTCTAAAGACAGCCAGAATTGAGAGTAATTAGACTAGATAATTTCCAAGTTCCCTTCCACCTCTAAAATGCTGCAATTCTAATATCCACTTTGAGCCAACTTGGGACTTAATGTTGAAATTACTTTTTCATAAAGTAATACTGTCCATTGCTTTCTCTCTCTTAGCAAGCAGTCACTGCACTGCGCCTTATGGAGTCAGACAATACCAGGCCTGAAAGGGCCCCCAAAGATCACCTGAAAGAGATTTTTAAACTTCTTTAGCTTCAGAATACTTTGTCCAAATCTAGTCTTTCCTGGAAGCTGCTAAATTTGGCTATCCTCGTGGAAGAAAGGAACGTTGAAGCCTACCTTAACTTGACAAAAATAAATTCCAAAGAGATTGCATGTTAAAATGATAAAAATACAACAAGGGAAAATAAAAGAAGAAAACTTAGGAATATAGGCTATATGTTAAGGAGATTTAAAACAGGAAACTGAAAAGCCAATAAAAAAAGTAAACATATCTGACTACACAGAAGAAAATATCTGGTACGAAAAAAGATACCCTATTAAATTAAAAGAAAAGCCCTATCACTGTGGCTCAGTTGGGTGGGTATTGCCCTGCAAAGTGAAAGTTTGCTGGTTTGATTGCCAGTTAGGACACATACCTGGGTTGCAAGTTCGGTCCTTGGTTGGGGCATGTGCAAGAGGCAACTGATCAATGTTTCTCACCCTCTCTTTCTCCCTCCCTTCCCCGCTCTCTAAAAATAAGTAAATAAAATCTCTAAAAAATAACTCAGTAGACAAATGGCAGAGTGGAAAAATATATTTGCAACATGTATGACAAAAGGCATGTTAATATCCTACTTTGAACTCAGTAGAAAAAAATGGTAAAGGATATGAATTCTGGTTGACACAAGGGGAAATCCAAAGAGCCAAAAAAATGTAAGGAAAAATGTTTCACCTTATAGTAATAGGCAAATGCAAATACCCCATGTTGGGGTGGGGCTAAAAAGCTGGGCAGGAGAGGAGCAGAGCCCAGAGCAGTTGGCTCAGGGGGTTTCAGTCATCACCCAAGCAAAATGGGCATTAAAGTTCCTCAAAGAAGTCAGTGTGGACCTGAAGGCAGAGGGGAACCTCGGGCTCAACCAGAAAAGGACCTTGTTTCTTAACTAGGAAGCCCAGGAGAGAGTGGTGGTGGTGCTGCAGCAGACCTGAGGGGCCAGCTGGCTGGCTGGAAGGGGAAGAAGCCAAGTTCTTCAAGGAGCTACTTAAAGCTTTGTCAGGGCCAGGAGGAGAATCATGGGAGACTGCACACCTGTAACTCTCTGCATCGATATTTTGTTTGAGACTCAGGAGTCCACATAAGGCTATAAAAACACCTGAGTAGTTCGGAGGAACTGATGATGTGTGCAGTCCTGCTGTGGATGAAGCTGGCAGAAGAATGAAGAAGGAGGTTCCCAGCAAGAGAATCAAGGAGGAAAAGTTGGAACCCACTGGGGCAACTTTGAAGGAAGAAACCCTGCTCCACTTCACCAAACAGGAGGCTGTAGATCTAACCCCCAGTCTTTGAAAGGAAGCAGTCAGGGAATGTCTCTAAAGGTGCTGTCTTGTACCCTGGCTGGTATGGCTCAGTTAATTGAGCACAGGCTGGCGAACCAGGGGATCGCAGCTCGATTCCCAGTCAGGGCACATGCCTGGGTTGCAGGCCAGTTCCCAGCGGGGGATGCACAAGAGGCAGCCATACACTGATATTTCTCTCCCTCTCTCCTTCCCTTCCCCTCTAGAGATAAATAAGTAAAGTATTTTAAAAAATACAAAGGTGCAAGGTGCTGTCTGGAGCTCCAGAAAAGGGAGACATCATAAAATCATTTCCAGTCATCTCCCCACCCTTACTCACCCCGGTACCACCATCACTAATGCTGGTAAGGCCTGAAGAATGGGTTCCTTTTTCACTTTTCCACTTTCTCTCAATTTTCTTACCTCCTACAGTAAGCCTTCTCTATTTAAATATAATGAATAGAAGGAAAAATATCCTCATTTCCTCAGAAGTCACTCCTATTACAAGGAGTGGGTGGGGACAGGGTGGGGAGAGAGTTTAAATATCCAAAACAACTTTGAAAAACAAGTTGTAGTACTTACACTGTGTGTTTTCAAGACTTAAAGCTACCAAAATTAAGGCAGTTTGGTGTTGGCATAAGGATAGATATACAGATTGACTGAACCAAATAGAGGGGCTAACAACAGAAACAAACTGTATTGATTCTTGGTAAAATTATCAAGATAATTTAATGGAAAATGATAACCTTTTTACCAGCTAGTGCTGAAATAATTGGATGTCCACATTGCAAAAATGCCTTTAATCCATACCTTGCCCCATATATAAAAATTAATGTAAAATTAATCATAGATCAAAAATAACAGATAAAACCATAAAAGCTTATCAAAGAAAACATGAGATGAAATCTGCAAAGATTTCATAGCTAGGACATGAAAAGCACAAACCATAAAGAAAAAATTCATAAATTAGACTTCATCAAAATTTAAAACATTTTCTTTTTGGAAGATGCTATTAAGAAAAGTAAATAATTCTTTTTTTAAGTTTTATTTTATTACATTTCACATTCATTATTATTTTATATTAGTTTCAGGTGTACAGAACAGTGGTCAGACAATAATATACTTTACAAAGTGATTACTCCCACATTTCAACCACCCACGTGACACCATATATAGTTATTCTATATTACTGACTGTTGTAGACCGCTCTGCCTGGTTCTAGGAATTGTATCTTGACCCCTTGTGGCTAAGGGCTAGGGATGACCTTTGGAATGCCAGCCGCAGGAGACAAAGCTTGTCTCTGGTAGCAAATGCTGCCTCAGTTTCCTCTCCCTGCCCCCAAAGCTTGGTCGGAAGTCAATGACTGATGGGTAAGACCCCTCACAGAGGAGGGGCAACCTAAGCCAGACTTGATCACTTGGGAGGCCTTCATGGAAGGACTCAGGGGGCTGCAACAAAGAGCAATGGACTCTTGCCCCCCAGCTTTGAGATAGCCCAAGTCCCCAGGTTCTCTGTGAGAAGAGCTTCCTGGCTCTAATCCCCTTAAGCCTGAATACCTGTTGGGGAGAGGTGCAGCTCCTTGCCTTGCTAGAGCATGTCCTAGGGAAAAATCTGGCATCACAAAGATTTCCTGATAAACCTGTGAAATCTGCTCTGGTAAGAGTATTTTCATTCATATGTTAAGTGTTCGAGCAAGAAACCCTAAAACTCTATTCCTGACAGACTCTGATTCATACTAAGCCCTCAGATTTTTTTGAAATGTTATTTAATGTTTGATCCTTGCCACCCTGTATTCCTGTGTACTACAACCCAATAAAAGGCCCTGGAGGAGGGGGCTCAAGGCCTTTTTCTCCTCTGAGAATCTGGGTGCTGCTGGCCTTTTTTCCCGAGAAACTAGCCACTGCTCACGGCCTTTTTCCTCTGGGAAAATGGCCACTTCTCCTCCCTAAGCAGATCACATCACGTCTCAGTCATATTTACTCTCATCTATGGCACATGGGGGAGGGGGGCCTTGTGAGGAAAGTCACTCCCACAATTGACTATATTCCTTATGCTGTGCTTTACATCCCCATGACTGTTTTATAACTACCACTTTGTCACCCAACCTCTGCCCCCACAACTATCAGTTCCTTCTCTGTGTCTATGAGTCCATTTCTGGTTTGTTTTTTTTTATTTTTTTAAATTTATTTATCTTTAGAGGGGAAAGGAAGGAGAGAGGGAGAGAACTGGCCTGCAACCCAGGCATGTGCCCTGACTGGGAATCGAACCGTGGTTGCTTGGTTCCCAGGCCCGCGCTCAATCCACTGAGCTACACCAGCCAGGGCCCATTTCTGTTTTGTTTGTCTTTATTTTGTTCTCTAGATTCTGCATATAAGTGAAAGCATATGGTATTGGTCTGTCTCTGTCTTCTTTCACTCAGCATAATACCCTCTAGGTCCAACCATGCTGTTGAAAATGGTAAGATTTTATTCTTTTTATGGCCAAGTAATATTCCATTATATATGTGCCACAACTTTTTAAAATCTAGTTGTCTATTGATGGATAGTTGGTCTGCATCCATATCATGGCTATTGTAAATAATGCTGCAATGAACATAGGGCTTATACATCTTAAGAAAAATAAGTAAGTTTTAAAACTCACTAATAAAAATACAAAAACTTTATAGAAAATATA